TGCGATAAAGACGTCGGGGATGAATACAAAATACGATAAATCAATAACCGCGATGGCAAGTTAAGATAAGTAGAGCGTTCGTCATGTATGTGATCCTTGTAAAGCGAATTTAGGGATTGGCATAAGGTGCAGGACGACCAAACGGACGGATGTTCGAGTATAAAGTCTTCAAAGATGCGCAGACGAACGGAATCCTGAGTTCGGGAAAATTTTTCGGGCACATGTGAAGTGTGACGAGATCGAGTAGAAGATGGCAAAGTTGGCATGTCGTAAACATGACTACATAACATTATAATATGTTAAGGCGTACATGTTTCAGTTATACTATTACAACACGATAAATGGAGTAACTGTGAATCGCGTTGACGAACACAAAGTACTAAGACGAAAATATATGTATACTTTTTAACCATATATATATAATGTTTGGGCCTATTATAACGAAAACTAGTTGACATCAGCTGATACGTATACAGGTTAGTTGAGCTTACTATACCGGACATTGAATAGGATTAGGATTTGATTACATAAAAAAAATATTGATTTTCGTTAAACCTATTCATATATATAGATATAGAAGCGGAGTATACAATGTTACAATGAGATTCTATAAACGTTTACGTATAAATTAAAATAAACCGCTTGTAATAATTTACATTAATTTTTACTTATTGTATTAAATGGTTTGCTTCTATTTTAATTGAATATCAATAACAAAAATTTCATATGGATTAAGGTTCTTATACATATATTCAAAGTATATAAATACAAACAAATATAGAGATACTTTGAGTAAATGTAAGATCGAAAAAACCCTAAAATTAAAGGACGTATAGTACATAAATATTATGATTCAATGGTATATAAATAAATGAATAAACATCTTAAATTACAAAAATCCCATCTAAACGAAGTACGATTAAAGAAGCATTAAGAATAATCATGTGTACCTCGGAAAATTAATAATAATCAGAATAATAATAATGGTAAATCGTAAAGAACAAACTGTCTATCGTCAAGTAATCTTTAGAAATCGTACGAATTAAGCAAACAAATAAAATAACAACGAGAACATAACTGCAATCGATAATTATTTCACAATTACTATGTATATAGTAATTAAACTCTTGATTCATAATATATTGTATTGGTATGAATGCAAACGGTCTAAAGAAAAATAATATAATCGTTTACCAATTAATCCAGGGTTTATAATTTAAAATACAAGTACGATTAAATCGATTACTTACTTGAAATTTTTAAAAATTTAACACGCTTTACTATTGTAATGGAGTATTGTTTTTTCAATGTAATAAATAAGTAATAAGTCCGATGCTTGATATATTTTTATTAATTTAATTTTTATACAAAACTATCTACAGTTATGGCGAGTATATGGTTTCTAAACACGAAGATTGAGAATAAGTTTATATTATATTTTAAATTGATATTCGATTGTTCTTAATATGAAATTAAAAAATGTTTAAAATAATATTCTTGTACAGTATATTTTTTGATGATAAATCGTCGATTCATGCAAAGAGCATGTTAATGAATATTTTTTATTACTTAATCCTTAAACCGGAGAAATTCTTTATATTTAAAACGCTTAAGTTAATTATGGAGTATATAAGAACATTCCATCTCGAGAAAAAGACAATATTCCAAAGAAATAATTTCATTTTTGCAAAATAAACTTGTAATATGGTAGGATAGTCAATATGAAAATATTTCAATCAAGATTGTTATCGCAATTTGTTAGGAAATTTCGTAACAATAAATTTCAAAACAATGAGACATCTGAAAACAGTTTAAGTTGAAGAAAAAATTTTAAATATTTGATAAAGTATCACAAAGCCATTCGACGAGTATTTTCTTTATTTCTACTGAAATAAACTTTAAATGTTATTATATAAACTGATTTTCTATCGAAACATCAGCTTTCTAAAAAAAAATAAGAGTACAGTATAACAGTGTATAATAGTGTATTCAGTATATATAATGCAATTGATTTTATAAAAATCTCACGACTTTGCATAATGATATTATTATTTTATAATATTTTAAGTATAGTGGAATAAATAACTTATCTAAAGAATCTGTTTTTATAATATTGAAATAAAAATTCGATTTATTTATTTGAAATAAATGTATTATTTAAAGCCTTTTATTTGATTAAATGAGAAATCTAATATTTATCCTATTTTATATCATTCAATCGTATTATCATAAATTCATTTATTTTGCAAAAAAACAGACATATGCTATGGACTTTTAATGTTCTCTATTACTACTTGATCCTGATAGTTAATTTTCCCTGTTATATTATATCATATATTATAATATATCATTTTTTCCAATAGCTTATAATATTCGTATATTGTGGTATTTGTTGTAACCGTGCTGATTCATTTTTTATTATAAAAAAATAAAATTATAATTATGAAAACCATATAGTACAGCCTATTTAATTATTTTATAATTTTTCGGCAGGAAAACCACAACAAAATGAAAGTAGAATGACGTATTCGATTCAATCACTCTGAGAGCTGACATTCTCTTAAAGAATATGTCAGATCGGACGAAACGAGTCGTGTTAGTTCTATAGACCGAACATTTAAGAAAAACACTTTCCCGCGACCGAAAAAGTTAGTTAAACGAAAATATGTCAGAAAAACAATAATCACCCAATGTATTTGTAGGAAATGTTATTTTGTAATCAGCTACTTTTAATTCGGTTCAACTCCTTCGTATTTGTGTTACGACGTGGAAGTAATATCAAGGTATACGCCTATATATACGAGTATACGCTAACCACGATTGATGTGAAAATGGGAAAAACAAATTAAAGTAATTATAGTCATATTTAGAGTGTACGTTTATTCAGATGTCCTTGTTGTTTAATATAAAAACCGTACCAATGGTCGGGAAAAAATTTAAATAATAATTTTACACCAGGTACGTCACGGAGCGTGTTCCCCCCCCCCCCCTCTTAACTAGTTCCATAAAAGTAATTTGCACCGATTAATCGATTTTACAAAACTATACGAATGAACAAAAATTAACCACGTCATTATACTTATAATTGACGTGTCTTCGCGCCTGTCGGCTTATTCTACGATGCCGCAAAGTATGGTTTTATCCGATTATTTGAAACTTTCGTGTTGGTGGGAAAAACGATTTTCACCGTTTCCTCTTCGAGATCATTTCTCATCATCGTACGTTGTTCACTGTTATAGGCCAAGTAGGTCCACAAAAACGCTTTGGAATTTGGAAGCCAAAGTAATTGACGGATACTTATATGTACGCTGAAATTCCTACTAAAAAGACTTTTCCGAAACTTCTTTGACTTCCAAGAGACTTTTTATAGACTTTATAAATATTCCATAGACTTCCTAGAAATCCATTGGTTTGGAAGTTATTTTTCTCGTCTCAAGTCGGTCATCTCAGATGTTAAACACACTTCGTGATTGCGTTGTTCCATGGAATAATAAACCGCTATCTATCTAAAACTATACTACTAAAAACACGTCAATATCCTTTTCGGTTCAGAGTGATACGCGTAATATAGGGTTTTACATTATTTGTCTGGACAATTCCAATTATGACGTTAGAGGTTTCATAACTAGTTTATATCCCACTACGGATAAACCAATCGAAAACCAATAAATTTTATTGCGAGGTGAAGTTTGTGCTATTTTTGAAGTTTTATTACGGTCCACGGAATATTTGTAAAAGACCCAACGCTAGAAGGACATTGAGCACGTTAGCACGAAACGGTAATAACGCGTCGAAAGTCGAATGTAGCGTTCGCATTGTTTATTTTACCCTCGTCTCTGTAGTACAGCAGGTGTTTATGGTAAATAATGTACATTAATCGATTCACTATTAGAGAACAAAAACAAATACACGACAATAAAAGTATGTAATGCTTATTATAACCATCAGGTAATTGTTTTGAAGAATGAATTTAGCCAGGTTACCATAAATGTCGTTTTATTTTTTTTGTTATCCAACTCGTGGAAGACTTTGTGACTACGAGATCTCGCTGTATATATGCAATACTGTAATGCGACTTTTTTCTTTCGTGCATGTAGTTATTTAAGCAGCTATTATAATATACTGCGCAGTAGCTGTACGGTCTCAAAAGAAGTTCTTGATACTAAAACTGAGCCAAGCCTTACTGATCGAAGCTATTGGTTAAGCTGTATTTAGAAAGGGCTACGAAAAAAATTATAATAAAAAATAGGTAGTACGTAGGGATAAACAAATTGAAAATATAAAAATTTGCCAATCTCCTAAAATCTGTGACCTTGAGCAACATACCCTTTTTGTCCTCTCCCATTATTCCGGCCCTACAAATTCGCATCGAAAACGGTTTCGTTTTATAAGTGTTTCTTATTCTTTTTTTCATTCACGTTAACATTGACCACTCATCGGTGGTATTTCCCAGACATTTTTTTTTTCGTTTGTTACTTTATAATATTCACCTGTAATAATGTATGAACAGTTGAAAAAAATCACATATGTTTATTTGTGTACAATTGTACGATGACTAATTTAAATAAATAACACTCGCAAAATTTGGAGTATTATAATTTGTGTATCGTACGACCGATTTTGAATTAAAAGCTCTCATCGAGTTATTATTCACAAAGTTGAGAAATAAAAAGCGATGCGCTTTAGCAATTTAAAAATTTTCGTTTAACTTTATCATATTATTAAACAATACTTGTTGATGTGAACGGTTTTCGTTTGCGTGATAAAAGCTTTTCCGTTTTTAAAAGCGTATGTATACAAAAATTACGGAAACGAACCGTTTTAGAGAAATCAAATCCAACGTCATTTTTTTGCCGTTAAACATTAATTTTTTTTTCGCGTACCCCAGAGGCACCGCGGGCAGTGGAAAACGGTGGTTTACTATAAAACGGTTCGCGGTCGTGACGATTTTAATATTATTTACGTTGCCCATTGGATCACACGGAGAAAAAAATACTCACCCGTCGAAGACGTCGAGAGGCAGATGTGCACACGAGTGTAGATAAGACGGTGAGCGTAGCAGAAGGGTTGTTGGCGGTGGCGAAGGGTCGGCGGCGGCTTCTGCGAGTCGGACGGACGAACGAGCGAGTGAGCGAAAGAACGCGGGCGAAACGAATGCGATACTACTGACGGGTAGCGGCGGCCAATTTACTGGAAATCCGAGAGAGTAGCAGCAGCAGCGGTGGCGGCGTCGGCGGCGGCGGCGAAAACCCTATTCCGCTCGGCCCACTGGCCACGCGATGACGCTCCTGCTCAACAAACGTTACGTTGTGCGGTCGGGCGCGCGCGCGCGCGCCAAGAGGAGACCGCTGCGGCGGCTATTTTTTACTCACTTGCGCGCGCACGTGTACGCGTTACACATTTCGACGTAAATCGTAGTGTACGCGCGCGTACCACGACCCGGCCGGCCTTGGATTACGTGATGGTAGTGGCCAAGCGTGTAAGGGGGATGTGACGTAGCGCACGGGGAGGAGGTTGGTGTAGGGGTCGTAACGGCGGCTTCGGCGGCGGTAGTGATGGTGGAGGCGGCGGATACGCGTGTCGTCTTAACCGTTGTACGACGGGGGTGATTACGTACGTACGATCGCAAACAAGAGGAGGGGAGGGGGTCAATCAGTGGAATTGCCAGGGAGGGTTTAAAAGTTTACCCCCCTCCCCTTCCAAATTTTCCTAAAAAAAAGGATATCAGGATTTTTAATTATAATTTATATATAATTTAAGTTTTTTTTTATATGCATTTAAGCCCCTCCTTTGGATGATTCCTGGCTATCATACTGGGGGAAATTAATGTTCTTCAGAATGACTAAGGCTTAAAAAATGAGGAGTTAAATCTTATACTTTATAAATTAGTTGGTTTATTGTTAATAAACATTAAAGTTCTTTAAATTATTTTTTCGGTTCTCTAAAATTTGCTTATTTCTATGGGTGCTAACCATGTTAATAATTTCATTTAGTGGGTGTTTATGGTTAAATAAAAAATATTCTGCTGTTGTAATTGCATTTGCATGGTACTGATTGCTATTATGAAATGCCAAGTCACCTTTTTTACACGATGTGTTTGCATATTTAAATAAAGGAATAACAATAAATTTTTGTAAAACCACGTTATTACATTTTCCTCCTTTGTCAGCAAACCAGCAAACAGAACACAATATTTACAATATAAACCATTGTTTTTGAGAGAATAAACTAGCCATTTGTACGTTTCAACATAAGTTCTATTTATGTATCACTTTTCTTCTTTACCTTTCTTTATGTGTCTAATAAATAGGTATACAAAATTATTCGCAGGTATGTTAAAAAGCTCTAATATTTTGGTTTTATTGTAGTCTGATATTTGAGCACATTTTTCTTTGACATAATCACCAATATTATTATTTAAATCAATGTCATCTGTGATGACTCATCACATATTTTGTGTGGCAAAACGTGATCCGTAGTAGCAGATAACTATGCATATGGATTAAGATGATTCAATTTTTTTTGTTTCTCTTAAAATATAGGTTTGCTTGAATAAAATCAGTTGAATATGCAATATGTAAACGTTTAGTTCATAACTATCACTCTTACCTTCGACAGGAATCGGCTCTTTTTGCATCCATTAAGCAAGAGTTACCGGTCATTTACTCATTTTTAAAAATTAAAATTAACAATTTACAATCAACTAACAATTTAAAAATTTTTAACAATTAAAATTCTAGTATTAGTTTTTAACACATTTTCAGAAATATCAAAATATAACTGTTAACTGATAACTAATGAAATAAAAAAAAACTGATAAAACGAATGCACTGGGTAGTACGACGTTCGGATATTGAACATAAAAACGATTTTTGTCGTAGGTACGGAATTGGTTACTGTATTTTGAGTAGAGTGACCATGTTGTATAATATATTTATGGAGTAACGCACGCATGGACACTAAAGATAATATTATCTATTGATGCACGGCATTCAATATTTATTTTTTCACTAACTATTAATTACTACAATACGGCCTTAGGGGGGGGGGGGGGGTAGCGATCGCTCCTACCGAACCCCCTACCCTAAATTACATTCCTGATCCAGGGTTGGATCCAAAGGAAAAAATAATCGAGACCATCATTTATTAAAATAATTAGAATACATTTTAAACCGTGGTACAAGCCAAGTATTCACCTCGATATTCATGTATGACATTAGATCTCAAATCTTTTCCCCGGTACTATCACTATTTATATAGGGATTCGTTCCTGGACATAATGTAAATTAGAAGGCAACAAAAAGATAAATAAATTAATAAATAAACAATGTATGTCAGATCGCTCAAGATAAAAGTGTAATTTTATTTCATTTTAAGACGCGACAGGGATTTAGGAAATAGCGTAATTAAACAGAGAGAAACAAGGAAACTGAATTGATTATGATAGTTGTTACATAGTAAGATTATAGTCGAAATCATAACAAATTTTATAAATTTGGGTTTGCAGAAGTAAGAATATCGTCCCAATCAAAAGCTTAGAAATACCAGTGCAGAAATGCTAAAAATCACTAACAAATACATACATACTGCCTCAAATGACAACTTGTGAGTAGTGAACCGTTATCATTAATCGTAATAAGTTATCCAAAGTAAATAATAAATAAAGTTTCACATTCACTTATTCGTTATACTCCGGGCGGCCGCACAAAAATTAGTTACATGTGTAAACGCGTCGGTTAGTAGATAATACATAGTCGTTTAGAGCACAATGCGTGCTAATTTATTTAGGACTTCTTTTTATTGTTCCGCGTATCGCGTCAATCGTGGAAACAAGATTTTGAGTTTATGTGTTATACATAATAAGTTATTTTTTTCTTATTTATTTTCATTTTATCGTGACTAAGAGCTTATAGAGCTTAAAAAAATTAAATGTTGATAAATACGTTGTATGTACTTATACCTATAACAAAGATAATCATTTTTATGCGCCTACACTGGCATCTTACAAATTATTTGTTCACCGCCTTATGTGAGCCTCAGGAGTTGCCACTGAATATCAGTGAACGTTCAGACCAGTAATCACGGTTAAATTATTAAATTAAAATAATAAATCTATAAAAACCTATCCTATATAGTTGGGAAAAAGTTGAAGAAAAAGAAGATCTATAAAATTAAAATTATTAAATATTAAGCATATGGAAATTTAATAAATATATATATATATATATATATATATATATATATATATATATATATA